ATTCCCACCATATAGTCCCTAGGCTTTAACCAATGTAAATTAGCAAAATACTGAACTTGTTTTTTTGGTATACTAACTTTTTTCCAAGCATGATTTTGTGATAAGCCTCATATGCAATTACTCTAATAACAGCTCTGTAGGTAGGGTGAGTAGAGCCAATGTCATGGGCCCATGACCAGTGCAGTCACACTGAGCCTCCTGTTCAGAAAGGTGTCACACTTGGTGTCGTGCTTTGTTGTCACTGCTTGAAATTCTCAACATCTTTTAAACAAGAAACTCAGAATTGTCTTTCTGCATTGGGGTCTGCAAGGTATGGAGCCAGTTCAGAGGGTGTGGCAGGAAGATATCAGGCTCTTTATAAAAGAACTAATTACATGGTTATTAAGCAAAATGGGATGTTTCCTCAGACTGGGAAGGAGTTGCTGCTTCTGCTAGCAGAGCTGGAGAGATCAGTAAGATGTATAGGCCAGAGTAATCAAACTTAATGTCTCCAGTGAGATTTTTTTGGAGCCATTCTTGTTTCATGAGATTTTCTTGTGAGTTCTACTAAGGGTATGACTTCAACCTAAGGTGTCCTTGTATCTGTTTTTTGGCTATGTTGGCGTTGTGATTAAATAACTGAAATTTTCTGAGTTTATATAAAAAAATTTAAAACCTTAAGCCTGTTCTTTCTGTTTTTTTTTTATTCTCTAGTACAACTAGAAAAATATTCAACTCCATAGTTCAGTGTCCCATTCTCCAGAGCTAATCAGAATTTTATTTTCACAACAAATCAAGTTAGATAGTTCTTTCTGGATTCCAGTTGCTTTGAAGTATGTTACTTGTAACCACTTCCGGTACCAGTTACTGAACCAGGAATGACAGACACCTGAAATAACAGTGACTCAGGGCAGAGGTTTTTCTCTTATATAGATGGTAAACCCAAGCTGTAAGTATTTCAGGGCTGGTCAGGTAACTCTGCATTGTTGTTACAGGCTTTGCTGCTTTAGCTCTTTTCTTTGTCATATATCATAGCACATGGTTTCTGCCCAAATGATTGCTTTATGTCACAAGATATCTCTTAGTGCTCCAGCCATCACATACAAGTTTAAGGAAAGAGGAAGAAGAGAAAAGGAGAGAAGGGCACAAAGAATATCTCCTAGCTAACTGGGCACACTTTAGTTTTCCTATAAGATCTCTCCAGTAGCTACTCCTTACATTGCATTGATCACTCAGTGAAAGGCTCAAAACTATAGCCTGGATATGTAGTTCTGTTGTGACTTGGTGCATCACTACCCACAATACATTGGGATCCTACTGGAAGAACAGATACTGTGAAGCTGCTGTCTCTAAAAATGCTAAGGCATTTTTTAAATCTGGCTATCAGACATGATTGCCACTATTCTTATGTGGTTACATAAATTGAGTAATTAAAATTTAATTGAAAATTCAGTTCTCTTGTAACATTAATCATATTTTAATAGCTAAAGATGATAGCCACCATCTTGGACAGCACACACATGTGTATATATATATATATATATATATATTTTCACCATTATTGTAGAAAGTTCTACTGGGAACCATTCATCTACACTTTCAATAACTGCAGACATAGAATTTGTATATTGTTACTTGTTTAATTGGTAGATTTAGGTTATGTGGAGAGAGCTAGTAGAATGGTTTGACAGTGGCCAGAGAGATGGGAGGGAAGAGTAGGGATATAAAAAAGGGAGGTAGAGGGCTGGGGATTTAGCTCAGTGGTTCCTCCACCTGTCTCACAAGCTCAAAGTCCTGAGTTTGATCCCTGGTACCAAAAAAAAGGGGAGGGAACAAAGTTATAGTAATAAGTGGGTAATCATGTCAGGTGCTTCAGATTTATAGTTTGAGAAGATCATGTGGGGACTATCTTTAGCTGCTGCCCCCTGGAGAGCAGTGATACAGATAATACTGGTTCCGATGGGCCGAGGAGGTGCACAGGAAGTACATAGATGGAAGTCTGCACTTGTACCTGGCACAAATTCCCATCACAGGGCTGGGTGCGATGGTGCATGACCAGAATCCTGACACTCTGGAGGCTAACACAGGAGGGCTGCAAGTTTGAACCCAGACCTGGAAACAGCAACTCAGACCATATTTCACAATTTAAAAAAAATTTTTTTTTATGAAGGGCTGAGGATGTAGGTCAGGGGGAGGTCTTGTGTTCAATCACAAGTACTGCAAAAAATTTCATTATAGATTAAGGGACAGAGCTAGCGTAATGACTCCCAGGGAGAAGCAGGGCCATAGATTGCTGCCCTTGTGCTTGTGGTCAGTGTGTTCTGGTCTTTTTGTAGGATGAGTAGCTCTGCATGTGGCTAGAGCATAAGGACAAGTGTTCCCGAAGAGGGAGAGATTTATGATAAAAGAGGATTGTGGAAGCCAGGTAGCTCAGCCCATGTTTCATCTCTGTAACAAAATACCTGAGAGTGTAATTTACAAAGAGCAGAATTGTCTTCGGCTCACGGTTTTGGAGGGCAAGATGTTCAAGAGTAAGGAGTATCTGCTTGGCCTCTGGTACAAGCCTCTCATGATGGGTCACACGGAGAGACAGCCAGGTACCAGCTTCTTCTTTTTAGAAAATCTCGAATCCCTTCCCAAGGGACCACCCTTGTGACTTCATCTTACCCTAATCACTTCCGTGTGCCATCACCCTATGCATTTGGGGATCATTTCCAACACCAGCTTGTAGAGGACGCATTCTGACCCAAGCAGCAGGCTTTAGGGGCTCAGTATGAATTCCTGTGTAATGGGAAAAGGCCATCTTGTCAACCCTGAAGGTGGCCAGCAGGGAAGTGAAGTGAGAGGGCTGGGCCGGACCAGACCGTGCAGGGAGGGGGTTGAGGGAACACACGCCAAGGGGCACTGTTTCCGTGGTAATTCTCGGAGAAGAAGCCACTGTGTGATTGAAAGGCAGAGGGCCTGTCAGGAAGAAAGAAAACGAGAAAGGCCTAGAAAGTTCTTGGTGAATAGAGAAACAGGGACCAAAGATTTAAAGATTGACAAGAAAGTCATATGGAATCCTACCAGATTCTGCCATCATGACATGCACCGTGGCGAATATTAACAATACAAATTGTTATAATACTACTACAAATTATGGTAATACTACTGAGTGGCGTGTATCGGACCCTGAACCACGCATTTGAAAACCTCCATCAGACTTCGGGTGAGGAGTAATGCTGATCTGGTACAGGTGAGCCAGGACCGATAGAAACAATGTTGAAAGGAGAGAGAAGTGAGGTGGGCGTGGACCCCGTCTCACCACCTGTGTAGCTGCGTACTTTGGGCACTTTAATTTCTTGAGGCTTCAGATCCCCCTTGGTGAATAGGGATTGGGATCTGTATTTTTAAATTGCTAAGAATCAATTGAGATAAGATTGTGAAAGAGCCTAATGCCTGCTGGGTTCTTGATTTTTTTTAAAAAAAAAACATCATAGAATATTAACCTTAGGTGCTGAGGATTCAGCTCACTGGTAGAGCTCTTGCTTAGCATATGCAAGACGCCAGATTCAAGTAAACAAAAATGCAAATTGTTGCTGAGCCATCTGATTCAAAGTCGTTGTGATTGGGGTTTCTGCCCACTTTCTGCTGCCAGGCAGGTGTCCTCGGTGTGCAGTGCAACCTGGTAATAAACTGTTTTAAAGTAAAACACTCTAGCTGCAGAGACAGTAGCCTCTGAGAGGGGCGTCTTGTTGAAGGCATTCATATCCTCATGCACCATGACGGCCACAGAAAGCTCACCCCATACTCCACGTGCCACCAGCTTGTGACCTCTGGGGACTGCAGTCTAAGGATCCTCGGTTCCCTCTGCCTCTCCCTGGGGTGTGATTTTGGTAAAGTCACTTGGGCTCCTTGTGCCACAGAGAGAAACTAAACAGTGGGCTGTGTTTTGGAGAAGGCGCTAGAACAGGCTGGTGAGAGGATGTGAAGTTCTGAATGATTCTTGCAGTTGGCATTTTAGGAGGTATAAAAAGTTCCTAGCCGCATAATTAACAGGTGGCAAGGGCTGTGGTAAGATGACAAGGCGGCCGATATGGGGACCCAGGGAGCCTTCTTTGGCAGCAGACCTCAGGGCGGTTCTGAAGACATTGATTAATGACACCACTTGTACTGGTGAGGAACATGGCAGCATAACCCTGCCTTTCCTGTGGGTTTGCAGAGAGGTGGGGACCCAGGGATGGAGCCTCAGGCCACATCCCGCTGGGGACAGCAGAGCAGCCTTGAACTCAGTCTCCTCAGTGCCCCAGGTGCGACTCACAGGCATTTTCTCCAAAAGATCTAGATCACTGCTCCAGGCAAAGCTAGAGATCCCAAAACCTCCCAGACCCCAAAGAAACATCCACTGCCTCGTCATTGTGGTTGAAATTGCCGCTCGTGTTTATTGAAAAAGCAGAACATAAGGGTTCTCCAAGCTCCGCCTATACATCACCCCTAGACTTCCACTTCACTTGGCTAGAAGCAAAACTACATTAATGAAATGTCTTGGGAAGGGTAAAGTAGATGATATACCTTCTATGGCAGCATTCCACGCAGATCAGAGCTGAGAAGACGGGGCGGAAGTTTGGTAGCCAGGTGCCCTGGATAGTAGTTCCGATCCTATCCAGGGCACAGACTTCTCCCCCTGCGGTGGCAGCCTGCCGCTACAACTCAGGGCACACAAGCTCATCTCCCTAGACTGACTGCCACAGCAAGAAGCACCTGGTCTTCCGAATGGCAGGGGACAGGCAGCGCGACAGCACCTGCCATTTCCAGTGAGAAAGTGTCATCCTCCACCCAGCCGGCCCGCAGTGGTCTTGGGGTATCAGATCCTGATGCGGGGTCAGTGGCTTCCACAGGTGGGACAGGAGGGAAGGGACCTCGGTTTGGGGGGGCCATTATCAGACGATAACCAAGGGAGGCTGACTTCTTAGAAAGGCAGCTGGGAGTGGGGCAGCTGTGCCTGTGATGAGTGGCGTGAGGTGTGAATGCTGTGCGTGTACTTCTGCTGCCTGGAAAGCCTCTTCCTGAAGGTCAGTGGTTCTGCCTGCCTAAGGACCTGTCATGGCAGGTGTGCTGCTGTGCAGCTGTGACTGTCGGGCGTGGCCGCGGAGGGGGTGCATAAAGAAGCAGATGTTGGAACCTCTGGAAAAAGCCCTCTGGGAGCCTGGGAGGAGATGCAGTGCGGTCACTGATCCCGCGGGTAGGGAGGAGTCTTTGTGGAACAGAAACGGTGAATTGGGGCAGCTCACCTCAAACACAGACTTTGGAAGCAATTATGGGCAAACAAGAAGTTAATATTTAGCAGTGGCTGAGCTAAATGCTGATTCAGACAGAGCCTGATGGAGTGCGGTAGCCCCACAGAAGCAACTGCCCTCCCGACGAGACAACCTAGAGCGCCCACTGATCGGGGTAGCCCTGGAGCCGATGGTGGGAACCAACTGCAGTTCATCTTGGCTAATTGCCAGCTTCCCACGCAGAATCCACTCCCTGTCTGCCATGAGCTCACTGAGGCCCGACCTGCCTCAGCTGGGGAGGTGGGGGCCGCCGGAGTAAGGATGTGGGCCAAGGGGCGCCAAAGGTTTCACGTCCTACTTCGGCGGGGCCCTCGGCACAGGCTGGCTGGGCCCAGGTGTCGGGAGCCACAGTGTGAGAAGCCAGGGCTGTGCCCTGGATGCCTGTGCACTGAAGCGCGCGCCCCGGCCAGGGCACTTCCTAAGCTGCTCCCAGGCGCTGAGGCCAGACCCCGGACAAGCACACAGCCCTCAAGCGTCCCGCTGCCCCTGGACCTCAGGCCCCACACTGAAGAGGCGGCACCCGAGGAGAAAGCAAGACCGCCATCCTATCCGGTGAGACGCTACAGGAGATGTCTATACAGTATGGAACAAGTGCACGTACGAAAGCCCGTCTTTCCCCGAGCCCTCCCGGACTGGTGTGGGCCCAGCCGCCCCTGCACCTACTACCCGCGCAGGTAGGGGGCGCGCGCGGGCTCGCGCCCCAGGGCGTTGATGTGCGGAAGCGCCCCGACTGCGGCCAGCTTCTCGCTCAGCTTCTGGTTGTCCAGCTCCAGGCCGCGCCCGTACTTCCGGGCCTGCCTCAGCGACCGCTTGACCCTCTTCACCCGCTCGCGCAGCTGCTTGTTCCGCTTCTCCAGGGCGGCCACCTTCTGCTGCAGTTTCTTGACGTGGTCCTCCTCCTCAAAGAGGGCCTTCTGCACGGAGGAGCACAGGAGCTGGGGACAGAGACGCGGGAGAGGAGGTGAGTCTGCGGTCTCTGCTCCACCAGCATCCCTGACTGCCCCGGCCCGGGACCACCTGACCCAGACTGCGAGCCCGCTCCCCGCTCAAGCACGCAGAGCTTCACAGGCTTCGGTGGAGGGTCTTCTTTTTAAAAGATATTCTAAATATTTGTCACAGCAAAAAGGATCTCCTTGCTCAGTAAAAGAAGAGCCTGAAAGAGAAGAGCACCCAAGGATATACTATACGTAGTTCACAGGAGAGAGAACGTAACTCTCCTGAAATACGCAGATTCTCAGCTCCACTCGTGATAAGCTAAAAGCAAGTTAAAGACAGGTTCAATTACTACTTTTGACATATTAAAAAGTCGGGATTTGAGGAAACAGGTGCTGGACAGACTGTAGACCTGGATGAAGAGAAATTTAGCTGTAATCAACATGAAAGCTGCAGATACCCTTTGATCTAATAATTCTGGGACTTGTTCTCACAGAAGGAATCTCCCGTGTGCGAACCGCTATGTGTACATTACAGCATGATTTATTTTACCAGGTGAAAGCCATCTAACATGCCCATCCGGAGAGGCGTGGTTCAGTGAATTACTGCGAATCCTTACAGGATGGGAAGGCCGGCGTCCTTGAGAGCGAGGCAGCGCGTGTGCTGGCCGCATCGTGGTCACCGAGGGTTGTGTTGATGTGAGAAAATATGGCAGCGGTGACGTCAGAGTGTAAAACATGCCCGTGTGTAGCTGCGCTCAGATACGTGTGCACTGTCTCTGCGCAGGTTCAAGAAAATGGCGACTGTGACTGCATCCAGGGAGCAGGGGGGACAGGAGTGACGAGACTTATTCCGCTGTGTGCTCTTGTGCACCTTTTGAATTCTGTATCTCGCGCTAGTATTTTGCACAGACACACAGTCTTCTCGCCTCCAGTCTTTCTCCTTCCTGCTCTATGTTATGGAGAGCTGCTCCCAGAGGAAGTCTCCCCCTGGCTGGAAATACAGTTGCTCCTCCTTATTGGAAGGTTCTGACTCCATGGATTCTGCATCCACAGAGTCAACCAACCACAGATGGAAAGAATTTGGTAAAAGAAATTCGAGAAAGTTACAAAATGAAGAACTTGAATTTGCTGCAGGCCAAGCAGTGCCTTGGGTCCATCTGTATAGACAAACCCAGCCGTGGGCCTGTCCACAGATCCTTGTCTCTCCCCAGCACTGTTTGCTTCTGGGTTGCTGGCCTTGTGTCTCATTTGTATTTTTGTTGTACGGTACTGTGGATGGCACCCGGGGCCTTGGCAGTGAGCTCCAACCCCAGCTCTTTATTTTGAGGCAGGGCCTAAGTTGCTTAGTTGCCCAGGCTGGGCCCAAACTTGGAATCCTCCTTCCTCAGCCTCTCATTGCTAGGATTACATGCATGCCCTACAATGCCTACCTGTAGTTAAGACATTTGAGATTGTGTCTGCTGAACATGTGTAGAGTCTCCTCGTCACTACTCCCTAAGCAACGTAGAGCTATTGACACAGCATTTTCATTGTTAGGTGTTATAAGCAGTCTGGAGATGATTAGAGAATGTGTAGATTGTACCGACGTGCCATTTCAGGTCAGAGACTTGAACGTGTGCAGGTTTATGAGGTCCTGGAAATGGTCCCCGTGGACACCAAGGGAGGAACTTGTCCTGCAATGCAGTATGGTGAAGACTCCCCAGCCAGGCTACTTTGGTTTCAGGTCCTGCCTCTTGGGTTTCGCAGAGGGATGACCTTAGGCAGCTTCTCAGCCTTGAGGTCATGGACCCCCTTTAATTAGCTTTTCTCAGGTATTTTGCCACAGTGATAGAGCGATTAACACAAGGATTAAATGAGTTGTACCTGAAAAGTACTCAGAACCAAGTGCTGGTACATAGCAGATGGCCTCTGTCAGCCATTATTACAGAGTTAAGTCTCTGGAAACTTGTATGGACACAGCCTGTACCTCTTACAGCTCATCAGTCTTACTGCTCCTCTTACTGCTTCACCTGCTTCATGCACAAAGCAAGCCTGGTTTGTTCCTGGTAGTTCCTCCAGCACACCCCGCATATTAGGCCTCTGCCTGGAATGCTGTGTTTCCTAGCACTCTGTGGGCCTACTTTCGTGTGCCTTCCGTGGGGTCCTCCACTGTGCAAAGTGTGTCCTCCTCCAGGGTCTACAGAGTACCAGGTAGTTCCTCACCCTAGAGAGAATAAGTCTCTGATGTTCTCGACAGATCGCAAACTCCCTATCGTGATGGCAAACCTTTTAGAGCTTCCGGTGATAACAAATGGCCAGATGCATGGTGCGTGCCATCGGTTCGCCACCACTGGCTACTTCGTGTTGGTTGCTGCTTCCATGTTGCCCTGGATATTTTAGATATTCATTAAAAAATGTGAGTGAAATGAAGAGTTCACTGCAAGCTCCTGTCATTTGATAAAAGGCTTCATTAAAAGGGATCCTAGGAATGTCCCTGGGAGACCACACTCACAACCCTGCCTTCTTCCAGCCATAACGAGACCTCCTCAAAAAGAAGAGAAGGTGGGTTTAGGAAATTCCTTGGGAACTCATGTTATTTCTGTTCTCTGTGATTAAGTATGACCTAGGTAGCTTACTGAGGGTTTGATGTGGCCAAGTAATTAGGATAAGCACCATGGCCATACTCATTAAGTCATGATCTTTCTGGAAGTTACAGTAGATTCTTTGACCAAGAAAAGGTAAGTGAAGTCCAGTAAAACAAAAAGATTTGTCAATTCAATCCCTACTGCAAAAAAAAAAAAGTAAAATAAGAGTGTGCAGTATTGGGTTTTTACATGGCTGCTTAGAACTCAGTACTATAGTGGAACATATCATAGAGAAATTGAAGGCATGTTTATGACATTTTTCAAAAGTTATATTTTAAAATAAGTCAAAACAAACCTAGTGGGTTGGTGGAGCTTACACAGTCACTTGTGAACAGAGCTCTTTCTGAGGCACCAGCACTCTCCACAGCCCTCCCACTGGCCCTAGCCAGCAGCTCCCGCTCTGGAGGAGGAACTTCTCCAGCCAGACAACACGGACCTGGGGATGCCGAGGAGGACAGAGGGACACCTTGAAGTGCTGTGGGTGCGGGGGTATCATTAAGATGCAAATGATAAACTCCAGAGCACAGCTCAGCGCAGAAGGAACTGTGGTCCTCATAGCTTCTCTTTAATGTGAGTGGCTGGAAAAAAGACATCCAAGAACTCCGATGGCCTGTCCAGTGGCACAATAGCCAGCCATGACCCAGGACTCCTTACTTCGCAGACTTCTCCATCTTGGCCTCCAAAGAGGGGAAGCCTCAGACAGAGTTGAGGTGACACCGTGAAATAGTGATGCCCTGGCTGATGGTATCCAAAGGGAACCTCTGGAATCATGGCTGTCACTCCCAAAGAAAATCCTGTTTTTATAAGAATTTCTAGAGGAGCACTATGCTTTCAAATGCATGTGTTTCTGGAGGAAACTCTCTCTCCTGAAATGCTGTCCAAATTGAATCAACCTCCTTTTAAAACTGCTGGGGGAAAAATCCTAGACATGGTATTTGCTCACTTAGCTCTGTGGTATTTTTTTCGTAAACAGATGAGGGGAAAGGGCTAGATCCGGCTGAAGCAGGTACTGCCACATTTTCCATGAAGAAAAGTCAACAGTCCAAGAGGTCAGCCTCAAAGCCACACCCTCCCGCTTCTGATGGACGGAGGTGGAGAAGCATCTCCACCTTTCTTTGGTGGCAGAGCTTTTCTCTGGAAGTCTCCATGTGGCTAGCCGGATGCCTGCTCTAGGACAGATGGGCAGATTGCCACAGAGGACTGTGCTTTTTTATTTTCAGTGAGACAAAATCCAGGCTGGGGTATTCATTCTTCCTTGACTTTGAAAAAAAAAACCTTCAAAAAACTAAAAACAACTTGCTGATTGTAGAGAACCTTATTTTTTTCTAAAAAAATTTTTTTTAAATCATCAGTAACTCTATTACCTAGGGATAGGCACTGCTTTGTATATGTTTCTTCCTCGGATTGTTTCTGTGAGTGTAGGTGAACAGATAAAACATTTACACAGAATTGGAATCACGTTGTTAGATTTCCTGTTCTAATTTTTTCCCGTCACATTCTACCATGACTATTTTCCAGCAATAATACATACACTTCTTCTGGTGAGCTATTTCCATGGAAGCTGGGGAGGCGCTTTGATGGCCCCACCCTCAGCCATGAACCCCAAGGTGCTGGGTCACGAGCTGTCCCTCAGCTCTCGCCCTAACCTGTGACCACAGGCTGAGGGAGAGGGACGGCAGGACTGGCACTTACGTGTCCTTGAGGCTGGGTGATCTGAACATGACTTTCAGTCACCTGTCTCCAAGGATAAGCAGAACCTGTGGGAGTGCCACACCTGTACCTTGACCGGAAGTTTTCCTGTTTATTTTAGTTTTTGTTTGTTTGCAGTACTGGAGATTGAAATCAGGGCTTTCCCATTAAGCCACATCCCCAGCCCTTTTTATTTTTCATTTTGAGTCAGGGTCTTGTTAAGTTACTAAGTAGACCAGCCTGGTTTTGAACTTGTGGTCCTCCTGCCACACCCTCCTAGACCGCTGGGATTACAGGCAAGTGCCATCACGCCAGGCTTCACAGGCCAGCTCTTGAGAGCGTAAGGAAATGTATCTATGTTTCCATGTAGAATCACCTCTGTCACCTTACATCCTTTTAGCAGGAAGTACTTATTTTTCTATGCCTAGCATTGTATGGTGCAGGAAGTTTCCTCAACCAATCTGCAATATACCAATAAGCTTTGTATCAAGCTAAAGAAAAAGTATTTAAACACTATTTCAGGACTCATTGAGAAGACTCTGGCCTTCACAGATGGTTTCAATTTAAATGTTCACCTATCAAGACAGAGTGTACTTTCTGAAATGTAAAGTCAGGGGAAGACAGTCCAAAGCAACAACAAAGATGAATAGCTTGCCTTTTTATTTTTATTTTTTTGGTAACACTTCA